AATAAAGAGGCAGACTATGGAAGACAAACTGATTGGAAGAAAGTGTGAATTTTGGCTGCATTAAAAGCTTTACTACAGATGCGTCCAAGTAAATCACTGTGCAGATTATGAGACCTGCACTAAAATGATAGACTTGTTTTCTTCCATCACTGGAGCGGATTGTAACATTGATAAGGGGATTGCAATGTTGAAAAAGTGTATATTTTAATGAGAAATCTTGAAAGTTTTGATATGGCAAGAAGATGAGTTTGATTTAAATTTCTGAGTCCTTAGCCAGATATAGCCAAAGGAACCAGGTCAAGAAGGCTATGTATGTATTATTTACATCTGCACCTTCATTTTGCAGTTTACAGCTGTGCTTTCAGTAGTTGAGAAGAGCTTCACTGACTGGCATTCAGAGTCTTTGGCCACCTGTTGTGGACAGTATACTATTTTTCTCCCCCTACCATGCATTTAGACAGTGCTGCTGTATATTTTAGATGAGTCTGTAAATGAACTAAATTATAAAAAGGAATAGGAATAATTAGGCAAAAGGGGCACTGCTGCAGATTATAATTACCTCTGTAATGGGCAGCATGGTGCACGTTACAGCAATTACTCTGTTGTGCAACAGTGCAGTGTTGTCTTGACTTCAGCTGTGGTTTGGTTAAGTGTGGCTCTAGCTAGCATGATCCAGTTTGTGTCATGTTTTCTTTCTGGCCTGTAGCCTTTTCCTCAAAGTAGAGTGAGAGCATCGCATAGACAGCCCAGGTTACTGGAGTACCTCAGAAGCTCCTCTCATGCCTGACCATCTGATCTGTGTTGTTTGCACCTGTGCTGGGTAGAGGGCAGTCAACCCAAGACCATGCCCACAGGTTTGATATATCATCTAGGAGAATGAGTTGCCTTACTGGTATTACAAACCTTGGAAATACCTGAAAATGGGGGTTGATGTTACTGCAGTCCCTGGATTTAGATCCAGTTTGATGTTTTTATTGCATGTTCCTCCTCCTGCTGCAGCTCAAGAGTATCCTGGAGTTTTGATAAGTACCTGTTTTGTTTTGTGGGGTTTTTGTTTGTTTGTTTTTTAATGTTTTTGATTGTTTGTTTATTTAAATGTTCAGTGTTTTTTGTATGTGCTCTTTGTTAATGGTGTGCGTATGCAACAGCACTGCTCTACAGACAGTTTTGCTTATCTTTGATTTCAATATATGCAGAGTTTGCTTTGTAGAAGAAGCACTAGATATTTTCATAGTATATATGTTTCTTGCAGGGCAGGAAAAATGTTTCACAAGGTAACGTGTCTTTTAACCCAGTTTTTAACACTACCATTAACATTACTAATTTTAAGATGTAATGTTAACATTACCATGTTATTCTCTGACTTATTGTTCTGTTTATATTTTGTTTTTAAAGCTAAGTGTGAACCTGTTTTCAAGGGAAAACCTGAGTGTCTAAATGAAAATGCTCCACATAAGTTTGCAATTATTTTCTGAACTTTGGTCGTGGAAAAAATAATTTAATCCGCAAATAAATTTTTGCTCATTTTGTTCTTTTCTTGACAGTTTTTTCACATTTCCAATTAATAGGATGTTGTTTTATCCTTTGAGGTTAGTGTTGTCATCATTCTGTTCTTCTGGAGCTTTTCCTCGAGTGATTAGGGAGGAGGAGGTGGTTGTCAGATGTGAAGCTTCTAGCAGACATTCTTCCCGATAGATTCGGTGCGATGAAAGACAAATAGGGAGAATGTCAAACTCAGCAAGGGAGGCAGAGCTGTCTGGCAAGACTCTTCTGGTTTTTGGAGAGATTCAGGAAATAGTGTGGAAAAATTGTGCAATGCTATTAGAGCAAACCTTGCTCCATAAATCAAGCTAAGAAGACTGGCATTTATTTTTGTTTCTCCTATAAAGTAAGCTAAATGTTTTGCTGTAACTGCAGAGAGGCACTAAAATGCTGGCAAAGGCAAAGGTTATAAACAAATCATTCAGTGCTGACAGAGGCTCTGTAGATGATGACAAGAAGCAAATAAAAGGAATAAACCTAGTGTTCTGTTCCGATAAATTTCATTGATTTCTGCACCGTGTCATTACAGCTGCAGCCTGCCCTGTTATCTCATAGCTCCAGACCTTTCATTATGGCTTCAGATGATAACAGCTGTTGATATGCTACAGGAGGTTGCAGTGACTACCATGGGGGTAAAGTACCATATACTAAGAAATAATTAGGAAAAACCCCATGGCTGGCTAGCTTTGATCTCCTGTTGGCGTCCTTGCTGTATGCTGATAGTGCTTCAGTTTCCTGGATGAGTTCATGAAGCTTTTATGATAGCACATACACTCTATAAAGCAATATAACCCACTCGCTGTGCCAGTGCAAGCCGAGTGTTGCCGCACTGTGCTGGAATGCGTCGGGCTGCCTTGTGAAGAGCAGCCGGCGTCCTGCCCCACACACACGCAGAGCCCTGCAGGCCTGCTGCTGGCATTGCTGTACACAATTGCTGTGGTTCAGGCCTAGCCCCCGGCATCTGCTCACACCTTCAGCAGTGTGACTGTAAGTGGTTGTTGATCAAGACTCAGATCGATGACATTAGCACTGTCGGAAAGTTAAAATGTGAAAACAGTACCCCAAAGATTGGTGATTCCCTAACAGTATGAGTGAGATATAAGGAACCTCTGAATCCCAAGGATATTTAACAAATAACTGGCTCCTTTTGCTCTAAGCAAGAAAAACCGCAACCATGTGTTTCCAGTTTGTCTCTGTTTTGATGCTGGGAAAGGAAGGGAAGGGAAGGGAAGGGAAGGGAAGGGAAGGGAAGGGAAGGGAAGGGAAGGGAAGGGAAGAGAAGGGAAGGGAAGGGAAGGAGCCTGAGATGCAGTCCTGGGGAACTTTTTGCAGCAGGGAGTGCAGGCTGTGGGTGTGTGATATAACCTGATCCTGGCCCATGCTCGTGGAGCGCTGGAGAATCGCCAAAGCACCTGCAGGCTTCTTCTTGGCAGGAGCATTAGAAAGTGCCTGGTTCCTTATTTCTAAATAAGAGAAGATTGAAAAGAATATACGTATGTGGAGAAAAACTGGGATGAGGGGATGAAAGGAGTATGAAAGATCATGCTTATAAAACTGTCCACAATACTGGAAAATAAATGACTCTGGACTAGTTATTGCTTTGAGGAAATGCAAGCTCCATCTATTCAGATGAATGAGGAATTCCTCTTCATATAATAAACAGACTGTATGGAATTACTTATTGTGAGATTTCCATTTCTCTGCAACCCTAAATCATACCAGCTCAGGATGTTCCAGTGCTCTGCAGTGCTCAGATGTTTTCAGATGATCACAGCTTCACTGCAGCTTTTCTGTTCCTTGCTGTTAAATGTAAATTTTTGTTAGTGGGCAGAAAAAATTATTTATTGCTGTCACTGGAATAGTCCTGAATCTATCACCTACTTCTGCATTTGACCTAATGTACTACATGCTGCAATCCTGCCAGCCTCATTTTACTCATTTGCAGCTTCTGATTGTAAATGAAAAGCCAACCAAAAATTCAGGCAGCCCCAAGGATGCCTTTCCAATGTCTTACTGCACAAACATATTTCAAGCACAGGCCTGGGCTACAGGCCTGACAGAATGTAGAGCACAGATGTCCATCAGAGAAAAGATGAGATGACTTTCTGGGACTTTTTGGTGGTGATGAGAGGTAGATTTAATTGGAGGTAAGCAAATAGCAAGTGTGGATTACTGAGTGGTAGGATTAGGACCTGAGACTGCTGACTCCACCTCATTTGCACAGAATACGTGCTGGAGATTTGAATTCATAACCTTCTTTGTGAGAGTGTCTAAAATCCAAAGGCCAGATCAGTGGCTGATCCAAACCCTTTAACTTCACTGGATTTACAGAGAATAAATTGTGTCCAGTGTATGTGTTCTGCAATATTTTTTTCTTTATGACTCTGCCCAGTTATATCTTAGAAGTTTTCATGGTCTAGTTGACATTTTGCAGGGTTTGTTCCTTGAAGTGCAGTGGAATGTTATGTTGCTTTTGGTAGGTTGCCACACTACATTGTCTGATCCCAGGCTAAGGGATTTTATTTATTTTTATTTCACATTGTTTCAGCTGTTTTCACTTTTCCTTTATTGTTTTCCATCCTCCAGCAGAATTTCTTCATGAATGTAGCAGCACACTGGGTTTCTTGGTTTATGAGCTGAAGTTTGTTGAAAAACCCAATGTTTTTTTTTTGCTTGTAGCTGAGGAAATCTTAACACTATGGCAGCAATGGGTTGAAAGGTGATGCTCTGAGAGCTGATGTCTTATCAAAATGAGAGAAGATACGGGAAGGTTGCTCTGCTAGAACGATGTTGACCTGATCTTTTTCTAACTTTCTTGTACCTATTCAGTTAAAATCACTGCACAAGTCACTCTTATAAATTATAAAGCATGTATTTACTAACTGTATATACCAATGTAATTTGCAGTGTATCTGTATGTGTGGTTAAGTTGCATGTATGTATATACATCAAGATCCTCTGTTCTCTACAAAATATGCATTGTTTTTTCAACTATAGCTAAAAAACTTTCTTAGTTGTTACTTTTCTGAGCACGTTTCTTCCATGCTTACTGTTCTAGATTATATAGGTTTTCTGTTACTAAGACTCAATTCTTCATTTCTTATTTGTAGTTTTTTTTTTTTTGTCTTTGAGCCCGTTAAATGATCAATTAAGCCGTCATTGTAAATGACATCTGAATACATTTGTGTATCTGTAGCAAGAGAAATGTTGGCTGTCCAATCTAAGTACTATAACTTAGCATTCAGTCTTTTGTTATTTTCTTGGTTCCAGTGAACAAGTAAGTACTGTTACCTCTCATAATAGAGTGACTGTTCACAGAGAGGCTACTAAAAGGTTTACTGTAATAGTGATGTGAAACCGATATGAAGGAACTCATCTTGTACAATAAAAGTTTGCTCCATTTACTGATTTAGAAAAGGAGGAAATGTCTAAACGGGTCCTTCTCATTTCTCTTGTAGGATTACCTTGATTGTATCACTGACCAATCCAAACTGCCACTGGGGACCGAAGAGCGATCAGCCCTGTTTGGAAACATACGAGATATCTACCGTTTCAACAGGTAAATTGATGTTTAACTAAATGAAAGTGGGTCGATAGCCTGCAGTAGTGGGGAGAGAGCAAACCAAGCAAATTTTCTTTTATCATTTTAATACAGCCTATATATATATATATATATATAAAAAAAAATTGAGTAATGGTATTTCTCTGATTCTAAGCTGGGTTGATTTATTGAAACCAGATTTTGTAGCTGTTGATTAAATGAACCAAGCGTGTTCTTCATCTACTGTTTCTGTTTTCATGTTGGCTATTTCCATAAATATAAGTCTAACCTGCTTCCTATCACGGAAAAGCCTAATGCAAGACTACCATGAATGACATCCTTCTTTCACCAAAGAGAAGTATCTTATTCCTTCTATATCAGATCCTTTTGTATATTGCCATGCATCTGACTTCTGTAATACTTCAAACTGCTAGACACTTCATTAAATAATTTATCAAAAACATGTTCAAGTACCTTTCCATTTATTTAAATTTTTGCTAGTTATCTTATCAGCTTTCTCAGAACCTCTGCAAATAGAATTCTAGCCTATACTGGAACCTTGAAATAAAATTTCTCTTATGTCTATAATTGGTTCCAGATCGTGTGAGACTGATGGGAACTTCATTTTTAAAAACATACTACTGCTACTTTTGACTTAATTATCTGTTTCTGTAAAAACAGTTAACTTGTTCAGCATTTGGGAAAAACCTGAACATTCAATCAATTCAACAATCCAAATGGTATAAAGATCCTATGTCTTCTATCCCATTACTCCTGTAAAAGCTGTCTTATCTTTACTGTAGGTGACAGATGATCTCCCAAACTACTGTTTTGACCTTTGAAGAATAATAAATAATTTCCTTGAATCGAAAGAAAATTCCAAAGTGAGAGACTCATGTTGAAGAGCTTCTTCAGTGTTTATCTATCATAATGGGAAGCTGTTTTAAAGTGTTTCTGCTACTGGGAATTGATGTTCAGTATCAAAGGGAAGAGTGGAGATGGATCGATTTAGAAATTATGGAAAAAGATGAAGCCTAAAATAATTTCCTGAAGTTCAAAAGATCTACAGCAATGTATGGGAAACGGACTTTCAAGGCAGTATATTGCCAAGTCCTGTTCCAACTACAACTTCTGACTTGATTGAAATTCTTACACTTTGGAGGATACATAGCGATAGCCTGATCGTGAGTTTTAGAGCAATGATACTGAGCTTCCCCAATGATCACAGGTCACAAAGGATGAGCTTCCCCAAGTGGCCAAGATATGGCCATTATATTTTCTGAGTGTTCAAAAGCTAGAGAAATGTCAGGCTTGGTTGGTTGTTGGGGGACATTTATACCAGCATCATTACAAATGCTACCTGATAAAAATACTTTTTAGTATGATTTATTATGATAAAGTATCATTAAGTTACAAAAAATAAATAAATAAATAAATAAATAAATTGTTGAGGTTAAAAGAAAAGAACAAAAAAAGAAACCTAGGGCACTTTAAGGGTTGTATGTTAGAATTGTTAAAACTCATTCAAAGCCTCTAGTAAAATACTGATGTATTTCATGCCTCTTGAGTTAAAATGGAAATAGTGAGTTTTCTAAGATTCTTACTGTACACCCTAATACAGCATCAAGACTAGGTTCCCACCTATGTGAATGAAACTTGGCATGTAGCTTCTGGGTCCTAAACATACTCTAGAGCCTCATACTCTTTACCTTTGAAAAAGTTCCACTTGGCAGTCCTTTGTTAGTTTCACATGCTTTTTGTGAGCACAATTGTATGGTTTTAGAATTACCTTGTTTTTGTCAACTCTGAATGTGTGTGGGGCTCTTGTGGTCAGTAGATATGAGAAATTCCATTTCAGTAAATGAGAATTTCTTTCAACTATCTGCTTCCTGATTTTTACATCTTGCACTGAATAGTAGAAATGATGGTCAGGATTCTAACTGCTGGTCCCGTTCCTATGACTTCTTTTTGGAAAGCCATTTCTTAAAGTGGAATTATAATGTTCCAGCAGTCCTGGTGGAATCTCTTAGGAAAAGCTGCCTCACTTTTATTAATTTATTTGGAAGGGAGAAATGTCCTCTAAGCCAGCATTTGCTACCTTCCTCCTCTGGCCTCTCCTGTTGAGATTCTTTCCAGTGGCAGTTTAGGATAAATTCTTGACACGGTAGCATGACTTCATTCTGAAATAGAAACTCTGCAAAGAACCATGTGTAAGGTTTGTACATCTATCAACACCCAGCTGATCATAAGATAGGCCAAACTGAAACTTTCATTGATGAGACAAATTGTGTAATTAGTGACTACTGAAGCATGCATGTACCATGCAGAGCTGTTCTCTGTACAAATGCTTTATCCAGTAGTCTCTGTGTGCTGAAGTTTGTGCTGGCAGCTGTTGACTTTCTGTTAGGATGAAAACCTGCAAGAGCTCACTTTAAAGGAAAAGGGTTTTGCTTTCTTTAGTGGGAAGAAAACAGTTTTGGCCACTAACTTTTTGTAGCCATGAGATTATAAAAAGGCTACATTTCTCTTTTTTATTTTTCCTTTTAGTGAAAGTCTGAACTTTTCAGATTCGTTATATAAAAATCTAGAAAATTGAATTATTCAAACAATGCAACCATGAGGACCAGATTGTAATTTCTTTGTCCCTTATAGCTTTTGATGCTGTGCTCTGTTAGGCATAGAGAGAATAAAGCTTTTTGGTAATGCTGCTACTTTAGCATTTATGGACTGCACCATGTTTGGTCATCAACTGTTCTTTGTCATGGGTGCAAGACAAATAATGCTGTTTCCTTCCTTCCTGCATCTTTTCATTCCTTCCATTTTATCAGAATTGGCTGTCTGATGTAGCTGTCATTATTATCTTTCTTTTTCTTCATTTCAGATCAAAAGGAAGGTGAAAAATTTTTATGTCTTGTTTTAAAATAGTGTGGTAATAATAATATTTAATTAATAAGATGAAAAGAAAGTCTCATTTGGCTTAATTGAAAGGGATGTTAAGTGTTTTGTCTTGAAAAAGATTCCTATTCCAAAAGGTCAGAACATCATAAATGGCATTGTAATGAGACTTATACTCATTTGACTTGAAGAAAGAATGAATTTGTTGCGTGAAAAATTTTTAGTCTTTCTCTGGCTACCTCTCTCATCCCAAAGATATTAGCATTAGCTATTGATGATGATTCAGATGAATACAGATTCAGATTTTTCCAGCTCATAACAACCTCAATGTTATAATTCAGTACGTGATCTGAAACAGCCGTAGCTCTTGTGGCGTGCTTCAGTCTGAGTTCTGTTTGTGATTTGTCTGCAAGAGCATCATATTCCTCCAGTGGTGTACCCTCATGCACTCTTCCTGCCTGAGCTATTAGCATACACAAGTCACAGTTGTCAAGAGTTGTGTAGCTATCTGTGAAAAGTGTAAAACATCTCAATGTCCATGTGAAGGAAACATCTGTTTTCTCGCTACCATTTTTACTATCAGGTACTTAGATGTAGAATGATAAACGTGCTCTTTCACATGTCATCATGGTATTATAAGGATTTATTTAAGATTTTCAGGATTCCTGGGCATGACAGATTTGTTATTTTTATGCAGTAGTAGGTTGCTCTTATCAATCCTGTTCTTATCACTCAGATAGACAGAGGAGAGTGCACTGTAGCTAACAAAATCATCCTAAGTGCATCCCTTACACCCTTACATTATAGGTTTGCACTGACAACACAAGCCACAGGCACATTTACTGTATAAACTTGGACTCTCTGCATGAGTATTTGAAATCTTTAAGTGCAACATTAACCATATTCTCTAGGAAAAACAACACAACATATTAGGAGGCAAGAAAGAGTAAAATGGCAACCGAGATGCTACATATTCTAAAGCATCAGGAGAATGTCTGCCTGCTGGGGCTGGACAACAGGAAACCTCTGAGCATGTTCTGTTTAGTTGATGTCATTTCTAAAATTCACTTGTGGAAAACAGTTATAATTAATGGTTATGCTCAGCATTGCTACAGCTACTTTTTTTTCTAATTTAATGAGCTTTGTGAGTATGGGCTATCAAGCAAGGGTCATATTTTTATTCTTATTTTGATGAAGGGAGATTCTGAGGTGTGGAGGTTAAATTGTTGTTATACAAAGTGGCTTAGTGTCCGCTGAGCCGAAGTTTCTTCTGTCTTTGTTCATTGTGACTGATTGCTGATTTCTCTCCTTCCTTCCTCTAGTAATTACAGAAGCAAAGAACAAGTCTGGAAACTTTTCTGTTTTACTCCTTTTCTTACTTACACAGGGAAATTATTTCTCCCTAGAAGGGGAAAGGGTAGTTCCCTAGACATGGCAGTACCTAGGCAAAATGCATTCAGGGAACCAGCTATGAATTGGAATGCTATTAGAAAAGTAGCATTAAATGAAAAATCATCTGATGAGAAGGAAAAATGGTCTATCATAGAACCATTTGGTAGAAAATTCTTTTTCTTTCTCAGTTTTGTGAGAACATCTTTCATTAAGACTAAAGAATATTAAGATCAAGGAGTGACCTTTGAGGTCTTCTTCTGCTTGAACAATTTATTTCACTGAATAGTTTTTCAAGACCTGAATTTCATACGATAGTGAACATGCTTTGTTGTTGAGTTGCTCCTGTTATAATGAATTCATTTCCTGTTTGGCTTGTCAAAAATATAAAAATTTTTTCAGTAAGGTTTTATTTTTCTGCATGTAGAATTTATATGTTCCCTTTCAAAAAACATTTTCCTGGCTCACCATCTTTATTCAGTGAAGAGACCCACTAAATGACTTCCTGAGTGAACTTATTACCATTCTTCTTGCATGTGTAATACATCTCTGTTTCTCATCTGTGTTTTTCAGACTTGCTTCTCATCCACCTCAGTTAAGTCAAACTCCCAGAACAAAGAAAATCTTTATAGGACAGGGCATGTTTTAAATTTTGTTTGACTTGAGTGCGTTAGTTGGAGTACAGGATAAACTACTCTCAGTCTTCAGTTCTGTGCATATCATATAAGAGCTGCCAGTCTGAAGGACAGTAGTCAGCTTTACAGGATCAGCAACCCATGGCCATTGTAATAACTTGAATGTTTGTATATGTGGGAATACCATTTCTTAGGGTGCTTCTCTGCCTCCAGATAGAAAACTCCAATGACTGCATATCTAGGGGGAAGAGTTCATAAAGCTTTGTGGTTTACTGACAAGAGAGATATTCCAGTGCTGCAATTAATGTGAAGCCAGCATATGTAAGAATAAGTAAATACAAAAAATAAAGTAATGTGACTTCAAGATATTGGTAGAAAAACATGCAGTTTTGTATTTGGGTGATGTGTTGTGGTACTTCTCGGAAATACCACATTGGAGTGGTTCCAATGTTGGAATTTCTGTGCACATGCAGATAACAACTTGACTGTGTATAAGAGAAAATGTTTTGAGTATGGAGATACTGTGGAGATACTGTGCAACTGTTATGGTCTGAATCTGAGTGCCTGATCTGTATGAAAGAGGAACAGTGGCAATAACACTGAACAGTGCTAAGATACTGTGTTTTATGTGGTAGGAAATAGAACAGTGTGTTTGACTCAGTCCAATTTAGATCCTGGTTTGAAAGATGGTGCTGTTTTACAGTCTAAAAAAAAGCAAGGAAAACCATTGCAGGTCTATTCAAAGGAGAATGGGAAGCTTACAGGGGGAAATCAAAGAGTTTCTAGTTCCCTTTTTAGGCCTCACTGCATTGTAAGTGCTTCCTTGAATGATGAAACTGTGTCTGTCTCTTGGGCATGTCTATTCTGAGGTGTGCAATAATTGTCTTTCTTTTTCCTGTTCTTTGTTTTAGTGAACTTCTGCAAGATTTGGAAAACTGTGAAAATGATCCTGTGGCTATAGCAGACTGTTTCGTGTCCAAAGTAAGTGGCTTCTGCAAGTATCTGTAGCACAATACCTGTTGCAGAATGATATCAAAGAGTAAGATTAATTTATTAATGTTCAAGTCCTACACTTCAGCCATGGAAAAAATGTTATTTTATTTGAGAAGTGTATCTGAACTGATGGAATTATTGATCTAGGGTTAAGTTTTAAGTCCTTTTTTTTGTGGAGCATTACAGTGAATCATTTTTTCCCTGTTTTTTTAACATGAATGATCAACTGGTACTACTGTTATGGTTTGTCTGTTTAAAAATGACGACAATATGACTTAGCTGCAATTTTAGAAAAGGCAATAACTTGTTGCCCCATTATTTTCTGAAATGCTTTTTTTTTTTTCTTTTCTCTGATCTGAGCCACCATAATTTAGTTTTCTGAAATTCTAATGTTAAGATTCAAACCTCAGTCTCTCTGAAATACTTTGGATTTGCTGAACATCTTTATTCTATTGTGTAATTCAGAAGTGAGAAAACATTGAGAAAAGAAAGCTGTCAGATGCAAGAGAAGTATAAAGAATCAAAGCATCCTTCATTGCAGGAAACCCAGAGGGATAGTCAGTGGGAAGGAAAATGTTTATAATGTGTAGAACAACAAGAGATTAAACAATTTGGGTTACTTATGACTCAAGTTCACTGCAGACTTCATGAGAGAACATCCATTTGCCTTACATCTGTACAGTCCAAATATGTCAAGCAATAATGTTTCTCCATGACGTTTCTAGGTTAAAAGGGGCAGAAAAGGGAAATGTAGTTTTTTAAATATAATTTCTTTATAGTGGTGTTTGCTTGGTTTCATTAAAAAAAAAAAAAAAAAAAAAAAGTAAAACAAAAGAGCATGTCATATTTTAGGCTTCATTCTGAGTTCAGTATTGCCAGCACCAGCCATTCGTAAAAACAGTCCTAACATCCTAACATAAATATTTAGGACTAACTGGACCACTCTGTTTTGTTCGGTGCTATTGTGGCACAAGGGATTTTATTGGAAAAGGAAATGACGGTATGAGATTAGGGCTACCATTTCACTGAATTACTTATTTGAATTGAGTTGGAGCAAGTTGCTAGTTATTTATGAGCTGATCTCTTGTAAGCACTGGAAGATCTCACTGTATTTTTGCCACAATGCAGTGGGGCTTCTGGCACGTTGTTATCACTCCAAGCATCCTGTATTGAATTTAAGAAGAGTGGTAAGGGCAGATATGAAGTTTTGTGTGTGGAATGGAACAAACTTACCTGTAGGTTGGGTCTGGCTGGCCAGTGAACGGGTCAGCAGGATCTGGAATTGTAGTAGACATAAGAGAATGTCAGCAGTGTGTCCTTGCAGTGAAGGCCAACAGAATCTTGCATGTATGTTAATGTATAATTTGTATTAGCAAAAATACTGTTGGCAGATTTCGATAATTGTTTCTTCCCCTCTATATGGTACTTGTAAGACTGCATACTACTGTAAATTTTGGTCTTCTGGTACAAGAAACATATTAGAGTGATCCAGCAGGTCTGGAGGCTGGAAAATGTGATGTGTAAAGGCTGAAAGAACAGGATTTGTTCAGCTTGAAGAAGACAAGAGGAGCAGAAATATTTACTGCTGTCTAGAACTACCTAGTAAAAGAATACAGAGAAGACAAAGCTGAGATTCATTTTTGAAGGAGTATAGGGTAAGAGAGAGTGGATGCAAGTTGCAACAAAGGAAATTTCAGTGAGATGTGATGACTTTCAGGTTTGCTTTTAACCATAAGAGAGTGCTTGAACATCAAAATAAACTGCATACATCCTGCAGGATATCCATCCTTGAAGACCAAACTAGATGATCTTTAATGTCCATTCCATCCTAAGCTGTTCTACAATATTCAGAACTCCAGTAGAAAAGCAGTCTGATCTAACTGGCGCTGCTCTAGTGCAGACATAGGACACAAAACTTTCAGAATTCCTGCTCAACATAAATTCTCCTATGATTTGCTGATTTTACTGGGGCATTCCGAAGCTGAGGGTCCCAGTTATTCCTATGGATACTGCAGTAGAGAAAATGTAGACAGCATTGTCATGCCTTGCTATATCACACAAGTTGTTTTTGTACTGAAGACCATTTGTGAGGCCTTCAGGATGTTTACAAATGTCACAATTTGGAGTTTGTAGATTTTTCTGCCATGTTACATGAATGTATCTGTGGCAACTAATGGCTGAGACATGAAATAAAGGTGCTAAAAGTGATAAAAGCAAATCCGAGAAAAAGTTGCTCCCTCTGTTGTACTAGCCAGCTGAAAGAAGTTCTCTGATAGACTTTCTGGCCATTAGTTCTAGAATCCATCTGCTTATCATCAATTTTTTTTTGTGCTTTTTGTTCCCTTGTCAAATATTTTTAGAATTTGTATTACTGGCAAGCAACTGCCTGATGGCTCAGAAATTGCTGGAGATCGCAGTCCTAATGAGCATTTTTTTTTAACTTCATCCAGATGAGTGCAAATGCTTAAAAGAAAAATAAAACAATACCACAATACTCCATAGTTCTGTTTTTGGCTGTGAAAATGTCATTACAGTAACTGGTGACTGTCTTAACAGACTCCAGTTGTCCATTCTTTGTTGCTTGTATCTTCTCAGCATTGAGTAGTGGAAATAAAATAGCCTTTTTTGGCAGTACACAGTCCTTAAAGCCTTACGGGATTTCAGCCATTTATTGTTTGATTACTTTGAGTGTGCTAGATCTTCACTGTGACTTGCACACAGGGATAATATTATACTGAAGTCATAGCTCACAGCTTTAGTTAATGGATGTAGCTCCAGTGGAGCTTCTTAGATGTTTTTAGTGGAACTGTGCTTTGGTTATGCTAGCTCTGGCTCTAGTGGCATTTTTTTTCACCCTTCTTATTCACTTGTGAATAGCTTAGTTATTAGGAATTTTGAATGTATAATCAAGCTTTCACTATAGGTACCATGTTTGTTCTTCGCATTTCATGATGCTCAGTAACTGAATAAAGTAATTGCCGTTTCTTCAGGATACATGTGAAATGACACAAAATTGGTTTGCATGAATAATAGAATGGTTATAGTTAAAGTAAGTGGAGCTTTTTGGAACTAAAATGCTTGCTATTACTGAAAACATCTAGTGAACTTATTTTTGTAGCATCTAGTTTTGGACTAATTTTGATAGGTTATTTTTTTGACCTTGAATGCGTTACTTGGTTTTGCTTACTAAAATTTGTTGCATAGCTTTTCATCCTTCTCTCGTGTAGTCAGATACCATTGTGTTTCCATGTGTAAGGCATTCATGTTTAAATAGTAAACAGCCTTGCATCTTTTACTTCTGAGGGAAATACAGTAAGGATTATCAAATCACATTAGCATGCTTTGACAAAGACCCGTAACTGTGGATTTGAGTATTTATCCTCTATTGTGTTTGCTGCCCAAAGTAAATAGCTCCTAAAATGTTAGCTTTTATTTGTTAACAGACCTTGGCGAGATGTCTTCAGAGTAAATCAGCCAGTAACTTAAAACTCATTATCAGTTAAAATAGCCATACAAAGTTGTGAACAATATAAATATTTTTTAATAACTTGCAACATTATACTAATTCCCTCTTTCTGATATTTTTACATCAGTTGTAACCCATAAACACAATATAGAAGCAAGTGCAGAAGAACATACTTAATTTGCTGTTTGATTGTGTATTACTGCTTTTGACTATCTGAGATACAAAAGAAATGAAAAGGTATTTATTTAATCAGTGTGGAAGGACTGCTGCACTGAAATAACTGAGGAATGCAGTGCACTATGGTAGTTTCTACCAGCCCTTGGACCTTCCTTGTCATTTAGAACTATATTAACTCTAGTACATTAAATGTCTTGAAAATGTTTTGCTGATAACTGTAATTGGAGGCTGACAAAAGGTTTCAGAGTAAGCTTCTCTACAGAATAATTATTCATATATGTTTGTTTATATGTTTTCTTGCCAATTCGGTCTTTCATTTTTTGTAGTAATGATGCCAGTGTTAATTAGAAGATTGACTTCAGTATTCCACAAATTTGCATTTAAGTGAGTAGTTGTAAAGGAAAGCTTAATGCTGGCACATGACTCTTCTCACTCAGCACCTCAGAAATTTAGAACATATGTTTTCTGAAAGACAAACCAACAGCTTAACCAATGGGAAAGGGAGAATGATTCTAATCTAACATCTCATTAATGAAGAGGAGATCCAGGCAATTGGCTTCAGCTTGCACTCTCAGCTCATTTTTTCAGTCTCAATTTTATTTTAAAGTGCCTTTTATGGCTATAAAAAAGCAAAGTGCACCAAGAGTTGAGAGGAGATCAGGGATGTAGCCCTGTGCTTGGCTCCTCACTCCATATGCAGGAGTCACACTGTGAATTGATTGAGCAGCAGGGGACAAACTAAGTATAGCTGGGATCCTGTTGTGCTTGGCTTTGCTCTTCAGGGAGACTTGTAGTAAGTGCAGATAACATTTGGCTTTGGTCTCAGTGTTTTTATCCTCTGCCCTAAAAGCTTTGGGCCTCCAAACTAGAAATGGTCTCTGGAGCAATTCCAGTTTCCCAGCTGAGATCACTTTTAATCTGATTTGAAGATAGCTAAGGTGAATGTAATGACTTTTAGACTGAGTAAGCATAAGACTGTCCAAAAAAATATTGATGAGCATATCTAGTGCTACACTTACAGTGTAAAAGGGCTGATAGAAATATATTAAATCCATCTCAGTTTTGATTCTTCTCTTATTTCTGAATACAACACACAGCACTGGCTTTAGTCTGCATAGATTGTGCCCTGATATGCCCCAGTAATTCAGGGCTCTCTCTGGGAAGTCTGCTGTAGAGTAGGTAGCATCAGCCATGCATGCAAACTAGATGACTCTTCTTGAGATGCAGAGGTGCCAGGTAACTAGGCAGTCCATGGGAGAATGGCCATCCTGACTAGTGTGGCTTCCTTCCTCGGGCTGAAGAAGAGTAGTTGTGTGGTTCTTGGAGAGTGAATTATGGGTCATATTTTAGATCAATACATTTGATTTATTATCAAGTCTCAACTGTCTTTGATTGAGGTGGAGAAGCAACAAATTCTCTTCTAAATTATGCAACTGGGGGATCAGGCCCAGCCAGCATAGATTCAGGAAAGTTAGATCCTGCTTGACCAACCTGATCTCCTTCTATGATTGAGTGATCTGCTTGGTGGATGTGGAAAGTTGACACAGTCACCCTAGACTTCAGCAGAGCCTTTGACACTGTCTCCCACAGTATTCTCCTGGAGAAGCTTGGCAGCCCATAGCCTAAACAGGCAAACTCTTTGCTGGGTAAAGAACCAGCTGGAGGGCCAATCCCAGAGAGTGGTGGTAAATGGAGTTAAATCCAGGTGACAATTTATCACAAGTGGTGCTTCCTCGGGGTCAGTACTGGGGCTTGTTCTGATTAATACAATTACTGATGACCTGAATGAGGGGATTGAGTGCACTCACTAAGTTTGCTTGGGAGGAAGTGTCAATCTGCTTGGGAATAGGAAGGTGCTATAGAGGGATCTGGAAAGTTTGGGCAGTTGAGCTGAAGCCAACAGGATGAAGTCAACAAGACCAAATGCTGGGTCCTGCACTTTGTTCACAACAACCCCATGCAATGCCACAGGCTTGGGGAAGAGTGGCTGGAAGACTGTGTGGAAGATGGACCTACGGGTGTTGGTTGAGGCTCAGCTAAACATGAGCCAGCAGTGTGTCCAGGTAGCCAAGAAGGCCAATGGCATCCTGGCTTCTATCAGAAATAGTACTGCCAGCAGGAGCAGGGGAGTCCCCCCATACTCAGTGCTGCTGAAGCCACACCTTGTGTACTGTATTCAGTTTTGGGCCTCTCAGTACAAGAAAGACATAGAGATCCTGGAGCATGTTCAGAGAAGAGCAACAAAGCTGGTAAGGGCCTGGAGTACAAGTCTTATGAGGAGTGGCTGAAGGAGCTGGAATTGTTTAGTCTGGAGGAGGCTCAAGGGAGACCTTATTTCTCTCTACAGTTGCCTGCAGGGAAGTTGTGGTGAGGTGGGGTTTGGCCTGGGAGAAGAGTCAAAGAATAACCAAGGTTGGAAAAGACCTCCAAGATCATCTAGTCTAAGCATCCACTATCACCAATATTTCTCCACTAAACTAGATACCTCGAAACATCTAGATGTTTCTTGAATGCCTCCAGAAATGACCCTAGGCAGACTGTTCCAGTGCCTGACCATTCTTGTGAAGAAGTTTTTCCTAATATCCAACCTGAACCATCCCTGGTGCAACTTGAGACCATTTCCTCTAATCCTATTGTTACATGGGAGAAGAGGCCAACCCCCACCTTGCCACAGGTCATTGTAGAGAGCTCAGTATGAGTATGTAAATATATGTATGTGTATATATATAAATTTTCACAAAAAGTTGTGTACTTTGCTTCTGAAGTCATTCCATAAATTGCATTACTTTGTGGTTGTAGGCATGGAAATTTATCACAGTTTATACCTGTAGTAGTACCTGTATAACCTGTAGTTATACCTGTAGACCCTAAATGAAAGTTTTCTATTAGTATATGGTACAGGTGGGCAAAAAGCTGGAGACGAACCAGCAGCATGTGCTTGAGCCTGGAAAGTCAGCAGTATCCTGGGCTGCATTAAAAGAGAGATGCCCAGCAGGGAGTAGGAAGGAATTGTCCCCTCTCTGCTCTGTCCTTGTGAGTACTGCATCCAGGCCTCGTGCCCCCAAGACAGGAAGGTCCTGTTGGAGCAGGTCCATAAAAGGGCCACAGAGATGCTCAGAGGGCTGGAGCACCACTCTTATGAAGAAAAGCTAAGGGAGTTGGGCTTGTTCGTCTTGGAGAAGAGAAGGCTCTGGGTAGACCTCATAGCAGCATTCCTTGCTACTTGAGGGGGGAGCATATAAGCTGGGTCTGACAGTGATATAACATGGGGGAATGGCTTTAAACTAAAAGAGGGGAGTTTTAGATTAGATGTTAGAAGGTAATTCAGAGAGTGGTGAGCACACACACAAGTTGGCCAGAAAAGTTGTGGATGTTCCCTCTCTGGAGGTGTCAGGGTCAGATTGGATGGGACCATGATTTCATGGGTGTCAGCCTTGTCCGTGGCAGAGGGTTGGAACTGGATGATCTTTAATGTCCTTCCAAAACAAGCCATTTTATAAGTCTATGATTCTATATGCATAAATATAATAAACTACCTTTTTCCATCTCACTGAATTTCATCACAGTGAAAGGGAGGAAGGTGGCTTCCTAGGCACCGTAACTTTTTATGCACGATTAGCTAATTTGCTAATGATTGTTGTGTCATGTATGCAATGCTCTGAGTTTCATTAGTGCTTGGTTTTGCACTGGGACGGTTTGTAGCTGTCACCACAAGTTCTGGGCTTGAACACTAATAAGTTATGACAGAAGCCGTTGTCTTTGCATGTGGACACAGGGCATATGTAAACTGCCACAAAAACCAGCTGCGACAGCAAAATTAGTTCAGGCATGAAAGACCAAGCTAAATTGTTTGGCTGTATTGTATTAAGACCAAATTTAGTTGATTGATGTCTAAAAGAAGAGCAACTTAAAGTAATAGTTTGCAGCATGCTAGGGAATAAATAGGGGTTGTTGTCCCTGAGGAAAACTTTTGTTAGAAACTTGCTTGACTAATTTTTTCAAAGCAGTTAATATTGAAATCCAGTAAAAAACACTGAAATTAATTACACTGAGGTTTAGTTACACTTTGTTTCATCCATGGTCGTTGTGAATCGCTGCTCCACTGGAAGAATGAATGGTGCAGTTTGATGTATGAGAGAGAGGGGGAAGGGAACTGCTTCAGCTGCCTCTTTCTGATGAATAGCCAAAAAAAAAAAAAAATCCACTCAACAATGAGAAATAAAAGCCTCAGCCTGCATCAACCTTCTCTCCTAATGCTCTGCACTGGGCTCTGGATATTTGGTCTCACTATTCAGAGCTACCACTGCTGGGAGGGTACCCAGGGGGCACAGCTACTGTGGGGCAGTGGGTCACAGTCTGTCTTGAAGATGCTTTATGTGGAAGGCAGGGTCTTGTTTGCCACCAGAGGATTGTTTTTTTATTGGTTTAGGACTCAGAAAAGAAATCACTGATTTTAGGATTGCCTTGCAGTTCTGCAGTGCTTTCTTACTCTTTATGACTCCAACATGCTGCAAAAATTGTGCACTACTTCAGATAGAAGCTGGTAGGCAGACATAAACTTCAAGCACATGGTAATATTTCTGGAGACTTGTTCTCACATAGGATTAAATGATGATAATTGAGAAAGAATTTTATGCTGAGGAAGAAAGAAAGGAAACTCAGGCTCTTCACCTGAGAAGCTTGTCAGCACTAAGTGGAGTATTTCTCAGTGACAGGCAAGTGCACAAACCCACCTAAATCTAGTTACAACTTGTTTTAGTAATGACTTCCTGCTTGCATAGAGTCATAATTTACTTGAAAAAAAAATTTTTTTAAAAATCCTAAAACTTCTGTGGCATCTCATTTTCATGCTTAGACTGTGCTCACACGTGAAAATATTTATAGTAGTTTGAAAATCGCAGTGAACATGTCCACGAAACTAAATTTTACAGGTGTGTGCTTCAGCACACACAAAACTAGGTATGTGCAATTCAATTACCTGAAGTGTGTGTCGTTATTTTCTAAAAGATGCAGAGGTTGTCACTAATGTGTAGTCTGGATTTCAAGTGGCATCATAGGGACCTGTTACTAGGCCACTTTTTCTCTGTGTAGATTTTCTTGTTTCTTTGGTTGCTTTGTTTTTCTTCCTCCCTTTTCTCTAAAACCTAAGGAAAATTCTCCAGAAAGAAAAAGTGAAATTCAATAACTGGATCTACGTTAGCTTTAAGAATATTACAGTGAAAGTAGGGAAATCACTTATCAGGAACTGAAGAATGTGATGCTGTGGTGTCATTGTCTGTGCCTTGTGTATGTGCTAACTGCTGATGTGGCAAAATCTGAATATATGAAAACTTTTCCTCCCCATGCAGAGTGAAGATTTCCATATATATACACAGTACTGCACCAACTATCCAAGGTAGGAGTTCTGGATTCCCTTTCTTCATTTGTCCCTTGGCCAATTCATATAATGCGGGTCATAGTCTACTAAATATATATCTGTCTAAATGTTGTGCCCCCCCCCTCCATCCTCGTGCAAATGGGAGGGAAGAACAAAGATGTTAGTTTTTTAAACTTGAAAAAACAAAAAATGGAAGATGCTCACCTATAGTTTTACTTCGATAGATTTTGTCATTCATTGCTATTGCTCCTTAAAAAATGATGGTCTTCTGCAGTGCCCGAGATATTTAATTCCCAGTGCTAGAAGAGTGGCTGAATGTCAGAAGGAAAACACTACTGAATATTTAAGATAACTTAAAAGCAGAAACAGAGGTTGGATTAGGAACCTGCTGTCCCTTTTTGCAAGGAAAGAAAGAAATGATTCTCAGCTTTACCTAGAGTCTTACAAATACATACCATGTTTTCAGGTCAGTGGCTGTGTTGACAGAATGCATGAGGAACAAGACATTGGCCAAGTTCTTCAGAGAACGGCAAGAAGCACTGCAGCATTCCTTGCCCTTGGGCTCCTATCTCTTGAAACCTGTCCAGCGAATTCTGAAGTATCACCTACTCTTGCACGTAAGCACCCATTTGAAAAGTATCCCACTTAGGGCTGCTGCACTGCAGTGTTCCTGCCTCTGATACAAGACTTGATGATTAGAACAGTTCTGGGGTTTTTTATGCACTTTATTTTGGTAGTGTTTGATTTTTACATATGGCAACTCTTTCTGTCTTCATCACTTTATAACATATGCATATGTTTTAACTGGGGAATGTATGGTAATTATTTTAGACATGTTGAATTAGTCTGTGCATCCAAATAGTTACATTTTTTTAAATTGTCATTCTGAAGTTGCATGGAAGATTTTTTTAATGAATAAGCAATTTTGTGCAAAAAATTATTGTTCAAATGAAAATTGGGTTTTTCCCACATATTTCACTGCTGGGGGTGGTTGAAAGAAGGTATAAGTACATATAAACATCCCTGATTGGTAAGTTTTTTGCGGAGAGAAATGATTGAGGAAGTGGGAACTCTTTCCATATTCAGTGAATTGAATTAAGCAAGTTTCGGAAATTCCTGCTTTATTGTTAACATTTTCCACATATGTTTCCTATTTCAGAGTCATGTTCTAGTGAAGTGTAAAGACACTGATCCTTATTTAAAATGTCTGGTGCTTTTCTTCTCTCCAAGTGTAAAGTAATGCCTAGTGTAATTCCATCAGTGTTTTGTAAGCATGTAGATACATCCTATGTTTTAAGAAAAGCCATTAAGCGCTGTCTGAAAAGGTTTCTTCCTACAAGTGTGCTGTGTTGTCTTTCTGTGCCTCTGTTTGCATCAGCTGCTGGACTGTCCATAAAAGCTTTGCACTCTTAGCCATCTTGTATTAATCAAATTGATAACTGCATGCAATAGAAACAAAGGCAGAAACATTGCATTCGGGTGATCACACTGTGAAGACAAAATATTACAGATAAAACATAGTATTGCATCAAGCTGGGAAAAATCATTTAGAAATTATTTTTTCTTGTCGTAGGAGATAGAAAATCACCTTGACAAGGACACTGAGGGCTATGATGTGGTGCTGGATGCCATAGATACAATGCAAAGAGTGGCATGGCACATAAATGACATGAAGAGGAAACATGAACATGCCATCAGGCTTCAGGTGAGTTCCCAAAGATATTTATTGGTGTTTCTGTAAGCTGTTTTTGTCAAGCTATATGCCGTCAGCATTTTTTAGTTTAATCTTTTTCTTTTATCTTTGTCAGTCAAAATTTAAAGTCCCATCGAGTATGCCTGTGGCTGTTTGATCTTAGAAACCATGGTCATAGCTGCTGCAGGAAAATCTCAGAAATCTCTTCTCTGCAAGCAGCATCCTGTACAGCATTTATTTTGCAGTAATATGGAACTTGAGATAACTTTTCTTTCTTCCTTTCCCTCAATTGTACAGCACTGCTGTACAACCCCAGGGCATGTCTTTGTTCAGAAATCCTGTGGTTTCCGATTTCTCCTTTTTGTGCTGATTAATTTTGTTTTGAGACATTTCTTGTGCTTCTTCTTCAAGTACTTCCCTCTTGGGCTTCTGAAGACTTTTTTGTGTAAAAAATATAAACCTAGAAACACGATAGCTAGGAAAAAGTTAACTTCACTTTGAGTGACAGATTTTTGAGGAGAAAGCAAAAGCTACACTGAATAATTTTTTGTCAAGAGTAAGCTACCTCATAGACTTCTTACAGATCCATCATTCTGTTTCAAATGCTTACAAACATCCAAGTGAAATGCCATTTTACATTACACTTTTGTCAGCAGTATTTATATTGCTTGAATTTTTTTTTTTAAGTTAATAAAAGAGTTTAATAGGTTTATGCCATTCCAGAAATCTGTCTCATGTAATTCTTTTATTCCTTCATGTCTTTTAATATAAACTGTGCCTATTGGCCCTCATTTTTTTTGTTTATACATAGGGGGAATGGGGTTACATTTGATAATGCTTTGCCTGCAGCAGTGTAACCTTTGCCACACATTGCTGGAAGTGCATGCTAATGACTTCTACAAACAGTTTGCTATAAATCTAACTAAAGATAACCAGTAATATATTTGGCAATAGAGAGGGCTAAATGCTCTTGGAAAAGTGCACATTATAAATTTATTAAGCAGAGCTGGCAAATGTATGAGCTTGTGAAAAACGTTTGTGTTACCCTTTCTAAAAGTAAAATCTGTTTCTGCAGCCACAGGGGGGATAGGTCTTCTGTGAGCTCTCACACTGCCATTGTCTGCAGTTCTGAAAGTACTGCAACAGTGATTCCAGCGCCGAGTCTCCCTGGACACTGGTGAAACTGATTGCTGTGCTACACTCCGACTTATTTACAAGTTCCTTAAGGGACCTTAAAAATGCAATGTTTGGTTATGTTTTTGTTTGATTTTGGTTTTTTAAAGAGTTTTGCATGTACTCCAAAATGTGCTGCTCTGTGCATTTAGGTTTTCTTCCTGTGTATGCTCTAGGCTGCATTTGGGCTCAAATATACCAGAAAGACTTATATCTGATGGCTGTATGAAATGTCTTAGAGTCCAGCTCAGAATGAGGAAATCTGTCTGCTTTGCTAATGCTACCCAGGTTAAAGTCCAATGGAAGTTTTAAAAGATTTCTCTACTTAAGGTTTAGTCTGCTCTTAGTTTGCTGTACTGTGCTGAAATTTTGTATCCGTGCCTCTGACAGAAAAAATGAGCAACTTTAGGAAACAAAAATAGTCCTAGCCAAGAACAAATTTTTAAAAATGTTCTTAGATATTTCCCTGGCATTCTTCTCTTAAATGATAAATAGAATCATAGAATAACTCAGGTTAGAAAAAACCTTAAAGATCATTGAATCCAACCACGACCTAGCCATACTACCCTAACAACCCTCTGCTAAATCATGTCCACATCCAAATGGTTTTTAAACATATCCAGGGATGTTGACTCAACCACCTCCCTGGGAAGCCCATTCCAGTGCTTAACAACCCTTTCTGTAAAGAAGTTTTTCCTGATATCTAACCTAAACTTACCCTGGAACAACTTAAGGCAATAAGCTGAGAAATATCTATGTTACATCTACAGATCATTACAAGTGCAAATAAATCTTGCCATCTTTAAGCAATCAATTGACCAAATCACTTCTGGAATTTTGGTCTTCTGAGAAACATCTCCACACCTCCCGGGGGCATCTGCTCTGGTGAGCCTATCAGACAGAGATACAGGCAACCCTGGGAAACTCCAGGCTCTTCACTGTGTTCCCCCAGACATAACCAGGATTCAGGAGGGCACGCTTTAGCCTGTGCTTAGCATCAGGTGTGCAAGCACCTGGCTGTGATTTGCACCTAACCCAATAACCACAGCACCAGCATACAGTCACTTTGTGCTGTTGAGTGTCATATAGGAGAGCAGGAATGGCCTCAGCAGATTGATCTTTGAATCTATTTATGTAAAAGCACTGATATGCATGTCGATTGTTCTCCTTTGATCTGTTGCAGGAGATACAGAGTTTGCTCACCAACTGGAAAGGGCCAGATCTCACTAGTTACGGGGAGCTGGTTCTAGAGGGAACGTTTCGCATTCAGCGAGCCAAAAATGAGCGCACGCTGTTCCTCTTTGACAAGCTGCTGCTAATCACGAAAAAGAGAGATGAAATGTTTGCATACAAAGCTCACATCCTGGTATGTCAGAGAGCAGGTTATCATGTGCTGTCTCTCAATCTCTGAAACTTGTATGATTCACAGTGCCGCATCTCTCTGTTACAGTGTGGGAATCTTATGCTGGTTGAAGTAATACCGAAGGAACCACTCAGCTTCAGTGTCTTCCACTATAAAAATCCCAAGATGCAGCATACTGTCCAGGTATGACAGAAAACTCCTTGCCCACTGCATAGCCCGATTGATGCCCATATGCTATTCCTGACCCTGTATAGTGCAGGAATGCTCTTTCTTGTGGTGCTGATTTTTTTTTTTTAATTTTATTTTTATCAGGCAAAATCACAGCAAGACAAACGGCTTTGGATTCTTCACTTGAAGAGGTTAATTCTAGAAAATCATCCTGCTAAAATTCCTGCCAAGGTAAAAATAATAAAAAGATATATAAAACTCAATTCCTTGAATGTGCATATGTAGCACATGGCAGTTTTGTTAGCTGTGAGATGAGTTGCAATTTGGAGAAAGTTTAAACTCTCGGATATTGATATGTTCTTTTCTTATATCTTTGAAAGTCCCTAAAAATTAATGGAAAGATTCCACTAAAAGCATCTACTGGGGTTGGTACATGAGTAGAAGAATTTAACCCGGATAGCAGCATTTCTGTCCACATCAGGATTTGCCACTAAGACATGAGCAACAGCAGTGCAGTGTCAGAAAACTCTACTGGAAGAGCATACCTTGGCTTGAAACTGCCTGTCTGCATGACACTGAGGTGTACTAATTGCAGCATGTGTAGACATTGTCAAGCTAGTTTGAATCTGTCTTGGTTAGATAGCGTAGCAGCGAAGGCATTTCCAGCATGTGCTTTGCTTTGCAAATGCACACACCCATCCTGAGCCCTGCATCTTTAGCTGGGACACCTAGGCCCTTTTTTGTGAGCCAGGAAGTGTTAGGACAGAGAAAACAGGGCACAGTTCCACATTTTCTCATAGATGTCAGATACCTACTGATACTGTCTTCATAGCTGTAATGCCTGCAAGAAGGGAAATCTGGTCCTTTTATTTATCAAATTCTGTCTTAGACCTCTGGGTGATATTTCCCAGTATAACTTACTGCATTTTCACACTATTCAGAGTTAACTCCATCCATGACTCACGGCAATGACTCTGGTTGGAAGCAAGATTTTATTTTTGATATTTTTTTCACCAAATTTTTCTTTTCTATTACTATTTTCACTCATTTTTATGCTGTAATGACTAAATAAGTGTCACCTGTGACTGGCATACACAGAGGTGTATTAAGAAACATTTTCAACAATAAAACAAAAGGAGAGTTAATGAGGAAGAAGTCATAGCAATTGCATTTTGTATTTCTTCTTATATATTTGTTCAACGGATGTCACTGAAGATATAATGATTACACTGGCATTCATGCTTGCAGTGTGAATATTTGTCACAATCCATTTGATTGTAAAAAGAACTGCTTCAGCATGACTTCCTATATTTCGTATAACTTCTGTGTATTTTTTCACTATGGATTTTTTTATCAATGGAAAAAAATTACCTTATAATGCCATTTTCAGTTCTGAGAAATAATTTCTTTTGAGGAAGAAAAAGTCTGACCAAATAAATCTCTGAGATCTGCAAACGTTTTGGCAAATTTGTGCTTGCTATTCATCAGACTCTTCTCTGCCTGGCTTTTGAGGGATTTAATAGTAGTCCACACGTGACACCTGGTGGAAAATCACTGAACTACACCCAGAGAGAATCAAACAGGTTAACTCAGTTGATATATTTTAGTTTATTTTCTTTCTGGCTGATGCACTTGATAAAACATCCTGCTTATTTTCCTTAAAGAAAAAGGTAGTTTTTGGTGGCTGAAATCTACTTGTATGCATCACCACCTCCTTCAGAAATTCCCCATCCCAATGGGTACCGTGAGTTCACAGTCCTCCCTTCCCACTGAGAGTGGAGGCAGACTTGCCATGTGCAGAGAACAACAGGTTTTTTTTGTGATGCTCTGAAGATAAACTCCAGTAAACTCCTGCTTTCAAAATTCTTCTCAATGTATGTAAAGTGTGAAGCATAGAGACCAGGAGAAAATGGCAATGCCAGCAGTATTTCTTAGTTCAAAAATTAAACTTAACTGTCTGGAAAAAAAGAAAAGAAGAGAAGAGAAGAGAAGAGAAGAGAAGAGAAGAGAAGAGAAGAGAAGAGAAGAGAAGAGAAGAGAAGAGATTTGTAATGTTCAACATAATAAATCCTTCAATTTGTAGTTTATCTTTTTCAATTTTCCTTTTTTCATTTGTGTTTGTGTTCTTCTCTTTCAGGCCAAACAGGCAATTCTAGAAATGGATGCCATACGTAAGTTGATTGTTTTTTGCTTTCATTTTAAAAAATGAACAAAACTCCCTTCAAAACCTCAGCTTTGAATGTTGTTTCCATCTGAAATGGGAGAAGGTCATGTTTACGTTCCTTGAATTATGACTTTGGTGGGAAAAAAATAAAAAATGTTTGCAGATCCTTTGGGACTCTCTGGGCACTGCATTGATGGATCTTTATCCAGCAAGTTATGTCTCATGATTAAAAAGGAAGAGGCAGATTAGACCTTCTGTAAATACTGGTTATTCTGTTTTTCTTATGCCATGCTGACTAAATGTATGGTCTTTCCTGCTTCTGTGGCATAAATCCATTTTGGCTAGAACCCACTGAATAAAAAATGCAGATCTATGCACATACTGCTGGTATCACTTTCTTATGCTGGCAGACCTGCTGCTGGAGGAGCGTGAGGGCAGCCACAATGTGCACAGACTTAACTGGGAGCTCAGCAGGGGCACTCAGTATGGGGCTGCCTGTGCTGGCTGCCCTGTCATCCGAGTGTGGTTGGGCTTGTGGCTGTGATGGAAACCAACTGCATCTATGGTGCAGTCTCAAGAAAGCTTCATGCTGAGACCCAACATTCTAGTGCTTTACACATGTTTGACTGAAGAGTTTAGCCACCTGTCACAGGAGTCAAGATTCAGGAGGGCACACAATGCTGCTGCTGCATGTTCTGAATCCAGGTCCCTCTGCACCGGCCTTTCTGTTGCACCTCTTTGGTGCCTTTCATGCTTTTGTGTTAGCTCTTTTTGTTGCAGCTGTTCCTGGCAACAAAGGGAAATGAGAACAATAACCTTACACTGGAAGTGCTTGAATCATGGAGTAAAGCAGCCTTGTTATTTATTTACATAATTTTTGTGAAGAATGGGTTGAGAAGGCTCAGACTGAGATACTAGCAAACAATTGAAGATAATAATTGTGCTATCAGTGTTCTGGGTTAGCAATCTGGAGCAAGGTGCAATTAAATGGGCAAAATGTTTCTATGGACAAGTGCCTAAGTTCCCTGTAGCTGTGAACCACGCTTGTTTTGCTTCAGGCTCCCATGTACTACGGTGTGAATCACACAGGAAAGATGGCACTGCCCCCATGGAGCTGCTGAGACCTGTGCAGTTAACACACCTTTGCCTCTGCTTATTCCACAGATCACCCAGGATTCCATTATAGCCCCGAGGGAGAAACAAAATCATCGTACCAGGTTAAAGAAGGCACTACTCAACAGAGAGTGAGAAGGAAATCAGGTGAATAATCTCATTTTAATAAATGAAGATGATAAGGAAAAGCAAGATGGATTGTTTAGAGTTGGTTGAGTCTGTGCATGTTACACTGGTCTTTAGCTTACACTCCACTGAGATTCTGCAGAGCTCAGTTCCTCTGATACACAAGTGAAATATCTTGTTAACCTTTGTTGTTTGTGCAGTTTAATTCTTGTATCCACCATTTGCATTTCATTTCATGAATATACATTCCTAAGGGTGGATGCATAAACAACAGTTGATATTTTCTAATGGACAGAAGAATGCATGAACAGGAAAGCCAGTCACATTATTTAAATCTGACCTTTCTTGTCCTCCCCTTCCCAAGTAATTATTATCTCAGAAGTGATTCTATCTTATGATAGGCTTGTTACTTCAACATTTAACTACTATTTACTTACCATAATGTCTGCCATAACCATCTCTTAAATCTCTATTGAACATTAGTTCACTTCTGTTTTTCTCTCTACTGGTTCATAGATCCATAATTATTGTTAGTTTAGTCTTGAAGACATTACAAATGCCTGTGTAGTTGAGTGATATTGCAGTCCCTGTGCTCAACTATTTAAAGACATTTCTTACTAAGATAAGATGTGTAACATCGTGTACTGGGAGTGACTTAAACAGGATTCATGAGAGACTGATGTAGTGATTTATTGTATAGTGGCACTGGTGTCCAAAAACCCAAACTTTTTTAGGCATCTTCCTCTGTTTCTGAGGTGAAATAAAGGATGCTCTTTTGCCTATAAAAGGAATACTTCAGAATGCTGATTGGATGGATGGATAACATTCAGCTACTTACAATTTAAAAACATTGCCTTATAGATATTTCTCAATACCTCATACATATGTATGTTTTGAATATGGAAACCTCCAGCAACTCAAAGCAGTAGCATAGGTGAGAACCAAGTCTTATGAAACCAGGAATCTTAACCTGGGTTTAAAATTTATGTGTGTTTTGTTGTATAGAGAGCAGCTGATAGCTGGCATTAGGAACTTGTAAGTACTTTGGTAACAGCTGTTGGTATAACATTTCAAGATATTTTATTTTTCTAAGAATGTGAGTTAGCTGAGTGAGTAAGAACAGAAGATCTGGCTTTCCCGCCAGGAGCTTAAATTTTGATGTCTGTGCTATGCAAAGATATCTATAGCTTTCTTTGTGATGCAGGAGTGCTTAAACACACTGTCTTTTTCAGAACCCTCATCCAGAGTCCATAAAGTTTTGAAGTCAAATGGTAAGCTGCTTCCTCTACTGCTTTCTTACCCAGTGTTTCCAATTTTGTAGAACAAGTAAAAATGTATCCTCTTCTCCTGTAACTTACCCTAAATACACATTTGAGAGGCAAAGAAAACAAAATCTCATGTTTAAATCTAATATTTCATTTTCCATGCTTGGGTTTTGGCCCTGTTACTGTCTTAGTAACTGGTAATTGAACACCAGGAGCCAGCCACTGTGAATAGCTGCCCACATTACATCATTCTGTCAAATCAGGACCTCAGGTGGAAATGTCATAAAACTACTGTTTTCTCTTGTTTTATCAGAGACCTTCAAGTGAATATTGCTGTTTCATTTGATCCTCTTTTGGGAATTCGTAATTGAGATATGAGTGTAGCATTATGCCAGTGGCATAGGTTGATAGCTGTTTGACTATTCACTTATAATGAAGTATGTTTCTATTTTCCAGATATAAGCCCAGATATGCAGAAGGTAGGCCATTTCTTGTACTTCTTGCTTTGCACATTCAAATAGCACGTAACTAAGAAGAATATATTTTCTGTAGAATCCACATCTCCTTGGCCATGTTGGTTAAAGAAAGAAACAAAAACGTAATTGTTGTTTAGTGTCTCCAGTAGCATTATTGAAATTAAAGAAACACAGCTAGCTACTTAAGGAATATCTAGCAAACAAAAATTGGCTGTTCTACACATTCTTGTACCTTAGAGCACAGTATAAACAACTATTAATGTCCTAGTAGTTCTTATAAATACCATTATAATCACAGAAGTGCCGTGTGTAAAGATAGTGTGTATTCTTTGGAGAATATTTTTAAATGAAATC